CTCTTCTGGCCTTCACACAGAAAGAATATTGTATACATAATAAATAAATAAATATTAAAAAAAAAAAGAAGTCACGCAGGCTCTCAAAGCCCAGAATGAAACAAACCAAATGGGAAGAGGAAGCCTCTACTGCTTCCAAAGCAGCTTTGCTGTCTACTTCTAATCAGTGGGATGGGAAGCCTCTTTAATTACAGCCTACTAATCTCAGGAGACATTAGGATGGGAAGCTAGGTACTTCCAAAGGGCAGAGTAACCCAGGCAGTAGCAGCTCCGATACAGAGATGGGCGCAGTAGCCATCACACTGTGAACTAGAATGCTTACCTCTTCCGTAGTGTGGACTCACACACTTTGACCACACTAATGACTTCTTTGACGGTTCTCCGGAAGTCATGCATTCTGGCTGCAACCAAAAGTGCTAGGAAAGAAACGAGATCACCAGAAAACTCACACAGACACGAAAGCAAACAAAATTCTCCCTGAACTCTGAACAACTGTGAGTGGGACACGTGTTTGCCTTCTCTAAACAGACCTGAGATGCAGACACTCTAAGGCAATAAGAGTCCCACTTTTATTTGGGTTAAAGCTGTACTACATTCTACTTTTAATAAGAAAAACAGAAAATGCAATAATATTTATAACTCCTCAAAACATGAAAACTAACTTTGAGGTTATGTATGTGAAACCCCTGGTTAGGATGGGAGTAGAGGATTCTGAGAATGTAGTAAAGCTGGAAAAGGCTGGGGCATGAGGCTCAAGACACCATCTGACAAGTGTGAATTATGGTAATGGTAAGCACGGGGCCCAAGAATCTTTAGAGTAAATATGGAAATCAGGTCTCAGATACAAGCAGGCTCAGGTAGCATTGCCCTAATGGGTGCATAAGTAGTACCTGGCATGGCAAAGAGGTAGGAAGGTGGAGGCTACAGAAGGAACAGGCCCCTGCTGGCCTGGAGCTCTTCCCGAGCAGGGGATTCTTGGTCTAGGCCACAGTCACCACCTGAAGATCTTACAGGTGAAGCCAGAACAACTATGCTGCTGGCTAGCAAAGACTCAGTGTCTTAGCAGAGAGGTCATCTCACTAACCATGCTGAGAGTGGCAACATTGTGTCACAAGTGGACAACATAGAGTGGAACAAGAGCTACCAACGGTCATTTCAGCCTCTGAAGTCCTGTCTCTCATCTCAGAACCTGCAGAAGCCAACAAGGGAAAAAGTGCCAGAGTCCTTAAGAAGTAAGAACCATGAAGGTCAGGTCAAAGGACACAGCTCTTATGTAAGGTGGACTCTGGAACCATAAGCAATAAGTCGTGGGCTTGACTGTTTAAGGCTCAAAATAGATGACTAGGGTTCAACTTACCTACTATGCATAGGACCCTAAATTTGACTGCTAGCACGCTCCCACACACATGCATGCATGCGCTCATCAAGCATCAGGAGAGAAAATGCTACCCAAGTGCTAGACTAAGCTGTCATCCCAGAGGCATATGGCCAATTCTGTACCTGCTCCACAGAGGCCAGAGGGGCGCCGCCCTGTGTGCATCCAATCCCTCTTCATTCTCTGTAGAAGCCTCAGGGCTGTCATGGATACTTCATGGTTCTTCTCCCCAAATTCCAGTAGATGAGCAAAACGTGGAATGTACAAGCACGGGTCTGTACAGTAGACACAATACCTTAGTGTGTATGTAGATATGTACACACAGCACTAAGCAACACCCTGCAACTGGGTGACTCTACCCACTTCTCCATGTACACAGGCTCTCTAAGGTCCCCTTCCCTGAAGCACAGCCTCTTTGACCTTAGCTATGCAGCTGTGTTTACTACAGCCAGAGAACTGCTGGCTTCACAGGACACAAATCTCGGCATGTATGGCAATAGGGGTGGGGTACAACTTCCACCTTCTCTCAGAGGGTGACGAGAGGTCAAAGAGCAGGACAGGTGTGGGCTCTTCACACACACCACCTTCTGAATTTCCTGAGTGGTTGTGTCAGCTCAATATCTAGCAAAATGAACACAGTGGGCACACAAGTACACACATATTCACAGTTGTTTCTTTTCCTAAGTGCCTGGCACTCTGCTAGATACTGAAGTTTCAGTCAAAAATTTATGGAGCCCATGAATGGGACAAGTAAGTAAAACCAAGTCAAAATTCAGTTCATTATTACCATACCATTAGTGCAAAGACACGACCTAGGGACAGAGGAGATCCTGGGACTTGTCCAGGAAGACCACTTATGCTCAGGGCTGAGAAGCAGGCAGCTTAGAGAACGCTAGCAGATAATAATGGAGGAGGACTAGGGAGGCTCACAGAGGTCTTAGAGAAACTGGGAGGGAGAGAATCAGTCAGTTCACCTCATCTTTCAAATAGGAAGGCAAAGGGCCTCAGCTACTGACTGATACCTAGCCCATCCTCCCAGGCAAACTGACCTTTACCAAGTGACTCCATGAGACCATACATACAAGGATCCAGTCCAGTTCACACGAAGACTCAGAGAAGAAAGCTGAGTACAGTGTCTTTTACCTGTAACCCAAGCAACTTGGGAGATGGATGGGGAGAAAAAGAATTTGAGGCCACCCTAAACAACACAGAGACTCCATTTGATAGAGACAGAGACCCACATTGGAGCACTGGACTGAGCTCCCAAGGTCCAAATGAGGAGCAGAAGAAGGAAGAACATGAGCAAGGAAGTCAGGACCACGAGGGGTGCACCCACCCACTGTGACAGTGGGGCTGATCTATTGGGAACTCACCAAGGCCAGCTGGACTGGAACTGAAAAAGCATGGGATAAAACCGGACTCTCTGAACATGGCAGACAATGAAGGCTGATGAGAAGCCAAGGACAAAGGTACTAGGTTTCGATCCTACTGCATGAACTGGCTTTGGGGGAGCCTAGCCTGTTTGGATGCTCACCTTCCTGGACCTGGATGGAGGGGGGAGGACTCTGGACTTCCCACAGGGCAGGACTGCTCTTCAGACTCGAGAGGGAGGGGGAATGGAGTGGGGGGAGGGGGAGAGAAGTGGGGAGAGGGGGAAGAGGAGTGGGGGGAGGAGGAGAGGAGTGAGAGGAGGAGGAGAGGAGTGGGAGGAGGGGGAGAAGAGTGGGAGGCGGGGAGGAGGCAGAAATTTTTTCAACAAAAAAAAAATTTTAAAAAACCAACTGGCCAACCAACCAACCAACAAACAAAAAACCAGAAGGAGATAGCAAGAGTTTAAAAGGGCAGTGAAGAAGGCCCAGAAGCAGTCTGAAACCTAGGACTGGATAGATTCAAGTCACATTCCACAGTAACCACCTGGCTATGTTGGGTACCAGTGTCCCTAGGTTGTGCTAAATCGTTGAGAATCCTAGCAGGTATCTTTAGTAAAAATTCAACAGTCTTGGGTTTTTTGAGACAGGGTTTCTCTGTGTAACCCTGGTTGTCCTGAAATCCATTCTGTAGACCTGGTTAGCCTTAAAGATCTATCTGCCTCTGCCTTCTGAATGCTGGGATTAAAAGCATGTACCCAACGATAAGAGAGAAATTTTAATATACACACACATACATATATATATATATAATTATTACATATATTGTGTATGTATACACACACATAATTGTTATGTTTCAGGCCTTGTGAATACAGCAACGAATAGTCTTGATTTTTAAAAATGTTTTCAGGCCTGGAGTAGTGGTGCAGGTCTTTAATCCTACCACCCAGAAAGCAGAGGCAGGTGAATTTCTTTAAGTTTCAGGCCAACCTGATCTACAGAGTAAAATTCTGTCTCAACATTGTAGACTCCCCACTCCTCCATGCACCTTCCCTAAATAAAAAGGATAGTGTACATGGTACCAAATGCCAATAATCCAAGCTGCTAAAGAGGCTTCAGTACAAGGACGGTCAATTGAAGCATGCCTGGGAAACATAGCAAGACCTCGTCTCTAAATAATAAACAGGTTTTTTTGGAAAAAAAAAAGGAAAAAGTCTAGACAACCTGACTGCAGTTCCAGGACAGGCTCTAAAGCTACAAAGAAACCTTGTCTCGAAAATAAAACAAAACAAACAAACAAACAAAAAGAAGAAGAAGAAGAAGAAGAAGAAGAAGAAGAAGAAGAAGAAACTTTGTCTCAAAAGAATCAAACAAAACAAGCAAACAAAATCAACCACCTTAAGAAACTTCTGAAGGGCTGGCTATGACTCAACGGTTAGGAGAGCTCATTGCTCTTACAAAACACTGGGTTCGGTTCCCAGTATCCACATCTCATATTCACGACCATTTATCTCCAGTTTCAAGGGATTCAATACCCTCTTCTGGCCTTTGCAAACACTGGACACACATGTGGTGCACAGAGACTCATGCAAACAAAACATCTATACACATAAAATAAAAATATTTTTAAAAGGTAAATGAAGGATGACCATTTGTTTCAACCATCTCATTTCTAGGTGAAGACATAAAGAATTACAATGAGGATCTGAGAATTGCACAACAATAGTTGTGCTATGTAACCCACTTGGGTGTTCACCCATCAGTTGGATGAACTGGCAAACAAAATGCAGCACAGTAGAATAATCAACTTATAAAGAGGACCTACAAAGCGAGTTTGAGGCCACCCTGGGCCATATAAAGTCCTGATTTAAAAAAGAAAAATTCTGACACACTACATGCAATATGTATTGTCTTTGATTTTATGTTCCGCTAAAGAAGCAAGACAAAAAAGGAGCTCAAGCCTTGTTTCGGAGACTCATTTCTTCCATGAGGAAAGCTAGCTGTGTCAGGTTCCTTTACTAAAGTTGAGCTGCTGTGAACAACTAACTATAGCACAAACCTGTACACCGGGCGGGGCTTCGGCACTCTACCGGAGGAGGGGCCTCGGCGTGAGCTGCGTCATGACGCACAGTGACGAGGGACGCCAGCGCCGCACAGGGTAGGGGCGGGACGGCGCCCCCTGCGGCCGGGCCGCGGGCTCGGTGCGGGGTGAGGGGTGCGAGAGGGTGGGCGGCAGGCAGGGCCGGTGTGGCCCCATGCTGCTGCCGCTGGCCTGCCTGCATGGGCGGGTGGCACAGTGCCTAACCTCCCTGCTGGTGCTCGCAGAGCCACTGCCCAGGCCCCGGCGCGGTGCGAAGGCGCGCAGCGCAGCGCCGACCAGTGTGGAGGTGGCCCCGGCTGGAACGAAGATGGCCTCAGAACTGTACCCGCCCGCCGGCGCCTCTGCAGCTACTGCCACCGACATCGCCAACAGCAACGCTGCGGGTGCGGCCGTGGGCAGAAAGGTCAGCCTTTGCTGCCCGCCCCGCCTGGCGCCCGCCCCACTGCCGCCCTTGCCCGCGCCGCCCGCGCCAGACAACAACAATCCCGAGAGCCCCAACTGGCAGTCCTTCCACCCGACGCTGCGCGAGAGGTGAGCTGCCGCCCGCCCCCGGGCTCTGGAGCTCCAGAGCCCGGGCGCGCGCTGTTCCAGCCCGTGTGCCTCTCCCCTTTACAGGAATGCGCTCATGTTCAACAACGAACTGATGGCTGACGTCCACTTCATCGTGGGGGCCTTAGGGGCAGCCAGGCGCGTGCCCGCCCACAAGGTGGGTAGGGGCGCAGCCCTGTCCCCTGGTGGGGTCTGGCTAGACGCAATATCCCCAGCCTTCTTAACAACCCTGTAGCTCAAGTGACTTTTCTTTTATTCACAGTACGTCTTGGCTGTCGGCAGCTCTGTCTTCTATGCCATGTTCTATGGGGACCTTGCAGAAGTCAAATCAGAAATCCACATTCCTGACGTCGAGCCTGCCGCCTTCCTGGCCTTGTTAAAGTAAGTGCTCTACTCTGGGGCTGGAAGGATGGGGTGGTTACCTTCCAGTTGTCCCCTACATGTTTCCTACAACCCAAGAGGTTGTGCATGGGAGCCCATGAGTTCCTCTCTGAGGCCAGCCCTTGCAGCTCCCCAGAAGAGTCCCTGCCTTACCCAGGTACATGTACAGCGATGAGATTGATCTGGAGGCGGACACAGTGCTCGCCACTCTGTATGCTGCTAAGAAGTACATTGTACCTGCATTAGCCAAGGCCTGTGTCAACTTTCTGGAGACAAGCCTGGAAGCCAAAAATGCCTGTGTCCTGCTATCCCAGAGCCGACTGTTTGAGGAGCCTGAACTGACCCAGCGCTGCTGGGAAGTCATTGATGCACAGGCTGAGATGGCTTTGAAGTCTGAAGGCTTCTGTGAAATTGACCGGCAGACTCTGGAGATCATTGTGACCAGGGAGGCCCTCAACACCAAAGAGGCTGTGGTCTTCGAGGCGGTCCTGAACTGGGCTGAGGCAGAGTGCAAGAGACAGGGCCTCCCGGTCACCCCTCACAACAAGAGGCATGTTTTGGGAAGAGCCCTCTATCTAGTTCGAATTCCAACTATGACTCTAGAGGAGTTTGCCAACGGTGCTGCCCAGTCAGATATCCTGACCTTAGAGGAGACCCACAATATCTTCCTTTGGTACACAGCTGCCAACAAGCCAATCCTCGACTTTCCCCTGACCAAAAGGAAGGGCCTTGCTCCACAGAGGTGTCACCGCTTCCAGTCTTCTGCCTACCGAAGCAACCAGTGGAGATATCGTGGGCGCTGTGACAGCATCCAGTTTGCAGTGGACAGAAGGGTGTTCATTGCCGGACTGGGCTTATATGGGTCCAGTTCTGGGAAGGCTGAGTACAGTGTGAAGATTGAACTCAAACGGCTAGGGATGGTCCTAGCTCAGAATCTCACCAAGTTTGTTTCAGATGGATCCAGCAACACATTCCCAGTCTGGTTTGAGCATCCAGTCCAGGTGGAGCAGGACACCTTCTACACTGCCAGTGCTGTCCTGGATGGCAGTGAGCTCAGCTACTTTGGGCAGGAAGGAATGACAGAAGTACAGTGTGGAAAGGTAGCCTTCCAGTTCCAGTGCTCCTCGGACAGTACCAATGGGACTGGAGTCCAGGGTGGACAGATTCCAGAGCTCATCTTCTATGCCTGAGGTGTAGGGGTTGGGGTGGACTTGCCATTAGGCTCTTCCTCCATGGAGTCTACCCAGTAAGTGCAGTGGAGGTGCAGGACACTGCCTACTGCCTTACTGATACCATTAAAGGTTTGGCTTACCATATCAGCCCGAGTCTGAAACAGATGACTTCTCTTTACAGATCTTTAGGAACTGATCTTAGGAACAGAATTATACATGTCCCTTGACCCTGAGATGATATTCCACAGATGGAGGACAGACGCGGGTCCAAGGTAGTCCCAGGTCCCTACCCAGTGGCACCCAAGCTTCAGGACCCTTCGATTCTCCTCCCACTCTTTTGGATTCTAAGCAGCTCTGGCTTACTTTAAGGCCTTCCATTCAAGCCACAAGTGGCTGAAAAGTCACTTAAAATAGTTCCATCCTTTTTAAGTGAATTTTCATAATAAAGGTTTCACGGAACAAGAGCCACATGTAAATAAGTGACTGTAGGAAATATTAACTGGGGCATTCTCTTTCTCATCCTGTATGTATGAAGTGCAGAGCTGTTAAAATCAAACCCTATCTTAGGAGAGCCCACCTATGCCTGTGTGGCATCTTAACTGTCTTCCTCTCAAGGGCTGTCTCTAGAATTCTGCAGAAGACCACATGTCTGGGTGATTGTGTTTGTTAAAGTACCTCAAGGTTCTACTGCAGAGGTCAAACTTAAGGATTAGGCTGTATGCTGTGCTGTCTGCTGTGGGGTCCTATGTGGGTAAGAAGGATCCCTAGGCCCAGGTCCAGGCCTCCCTTATAGTTGTTTTGCCCTGAAAAAGCACCTGACCTTCAAAGGCCCACTAGCAGGGCAATGTTATCTAGAGAGAGAGTATATGTTGTAGGCTAGTGTGCCTAACATCAGAACCCTGGCCCTGCTGGGCCTCAAATCTACCCTCCCAGACCCTCTGGCTCTAGCTCCCAGTTGTACCTCTTTACTGTGAGTTGATACTTAAGAAACCATGAAAACCCCATCCTTGCATATGAGAAGAGCCATGGCTAGAGGGTACCTGCTCCTGGAACTTCTTCCCTCAATTGTTAGGAGGCCCCTGCCTTTCTCAAGGTATCCACTAGGTTCCCAATGTGAAGTGTTATACTATTCCCTTTGGTCCTGAGCCACATCTGATAGGCATTGATGGGAAGCTTTGAGACTGCACCAGAAATAAAACCCTATTGCCTGTATTTCCCACAACCTTTAGGAGAAATTCCTTCGCTTTGGGGTTCTGTACTTCAGCTTGACAACCCTCTACTCTGAGCACCTTAGCATGTTAGTTTCCAGAGGTGGTATTGTCTGAGCTCAGCCTACCTATAGCCGGTGCGTTGATGCAGAGCTCCCTCGCCAAGAGCAGGAACGTCTTCCCCAGCACGTACACATTCACCTGTGCAAAAAGAACACAGCTAGGAATGCACTGGTATTCAAGAAAACATTTGCTTTTTTCTTTTTTAACAATTTGTGTGTGGGGTTTTTGTTTTGTTTTGATTGTTTTGGTTCTTGTTCTGATTTTCAAACAGGGTTTCTCTGCGTAGTCCTGGCTGTCCTAGAACTTGCTCTGTAGACCAGGCTGACCTGGAACTCAGAGAACTACCTGCCTCTGCTTCCTGAGTGCTGGGTAAAGGCAAGCACCACCACACCCGGCTCAGCTGCTGTTTTCTTAAAGTATCTTCAAAGAACCCATTGCCACAGCCCCTTGCTGGACTGTGGAAAATCCATTCCATGCCTCTCTGCTGGTTTCCACATCAAGAGCGCCAGCTTTCCTCCTATTTGGCTGCCCTTAATCTTGTCAGTGGCTGCTTAGAAAAGTTCTTTGAGGATACTTGCTAAGAGTATGGTAGGTAACACAGTACAGAGTTATGCTTAACTTCTGAACCAACACAAGACTGGTACACAACACAATAGCTACTCTTCCTCTTACCTTACAGTCCCAGAGATCTCAGTTTCCTTGCTGGAATTTCAAATGTTTCCTCCACTACCCTCATCTCAAGTCCTTATCTGCCATGTGGCCTATTGGCCACCTGCTCTTCTTTGCCAGAGGAAGTAAGCAGTGGGAATAAGTCCATTCTGGAAAGGCTGTACCAAAGGCTGGAGTGGCTGGAACACTATCAGTTGTCAGAAAAGCAAAGGTTTAGCCAGTGTACAGACCCCTAATGTGCAGTTCAGTACATCAGCACAGCACTGCATGGACTAGCCTGGGATTCTCAGGCCTACCCAACCCTAGAGTTTCCTCCCATCCTCAGCTCCCTGAAAGCCCCACTGCACTCATGCCAGGCTGTGTCTTATAGATATGACTGGTCTAGCCTTCTGCCTCTGGCTTCCTGAACGAACTCCCTCACCTAATTGAGCCTAACCTGTGGGCCCTCTGCTAAGCTCCTTTTCCTGGCATGAAGATGATACCCCCAGATGTTGACATATGTCAAGAGACAAAGCCTAAGGGATGATACACAATGGGGTCTTCATTACATGCAGGACTGGGGGGAGAGCGTTTGTGATTTGTTAACTTAGTTGAGTCAACCCAATTGAGAAGGCCAGGGTCAGCCTCCATACCCAATCAGCAGTGGGCTGGTCACCTTCCACCCTGGCTGGATACAGGTATCTTCCTGAGGTCTTCATGAGGACTGGTAGCTCAGAGAGCACTTTCTGAAGTAATTCTACCTTCCTGCGGTTTCAAGGGTCATCTAGAAAACTATGGTATGCATGACTACATGGCCTATGAGGGTATTCATATATGGTATGTAAATATGCATAGGTCATATAATATATAGTTTGTGTTCAAGTATGCAAATAAGTGTGCTCCCATAGCAGTACTCTGTTCCTGCAGCATCCTCTCAGGTTCCCACGGACATCCAGGTCCCCACTCTAGTGTTGTGGCCAAAGCTGGCCCCGACTTCCATCTACCCACCTCAAACTCCTTCACTATTTTAACCTTGGGTTCCAGATGGATATGTTTGATGATGAAACATGAATGCTACAGAAAGAGACTGAATAGACTTCCAAGTGTAAATTCAAAGTTTTCACACTTTCCAAGAGATGGCTCGGTGATATAGAGCACTTGCTTCCCATGTAGAGGCCTTGGGTTTGGTTCCCAGCACCCACATGGTGGCTCACACCTATCTCTAACTCCAGTTCCAGAGGATCCAACACCCTCTTCTGGCCTTTGTGGGTACCAGGGACACAGGTGGTCCACACACATATATGTAGGCAAATGCTCATACAAATAAATCTAAAAGAAAAAAAATCTCCTAAAGAACTTTCTAGAGATAGTTTTTAAGCATCTGGGACTACAAGTGTGTACCACTACACCTGGCTTCTAGGCATACTAATATTGGTAGGTACTGTTAGACGTCATCACATTAACAATTCATTCTCCTATTGTGGCTATCTGCCTTTGGTATGTATGTGAATCAGGAAAAAGTGAGGCTTTAAATTCAGGGTCTCCGCCAGTTCTACGCTGACTCCTCTCTTCAAAGCAGTCAGTTTCACCAGAGGCCTTTACTGACATAGGCATGAGCCCTACCCAGAGATAAGCAAAAGTGTCTTGTCTTAAGGTCAGACGAGGCCTGGCCCCAGGGATGTCTTGGAGGAACAAAAGAACATACTGTGGATGCTCCAGGGCAAGGACAGCCGTGTATGGTCTCCCGTCCATTTAACCAGCATGGCCCTACCAAGAAGAGTAGTCTGTGCCACCCAGACTATACAGCTGGCCCGACCTCAGCCTTTCCTGGTGGCGTGCCACCCAGCCTGACAGTCTGGGCTGTTTTCCCGTTTCCAAAGCTGTGAAGCCAAAGATGACTGGTGCACCTGTTTTCCTCTAAGAGGTGTCCAAGCTACTTCTGGTACTGCCTGGCCCTGGCCCCCATCTTTTTTGGGAGGGTGGAAACAGTCATGTGGCCATGCTCTGAACTGAGCACAATGCATTCAAAGGTGGAGTCAATGGATTATCACAATTCCAAAAGGTTATTTTTAGCTTGACCAAAAAAAAAATTTCAGTAATAGCTGCTGAGAGATGCCATTTATAAAGACAGCTGGGAGGACAAAAATACAAGGCACCATCTGACTGAACTCTGTTAGAGGTACTGAGGGATTAGCAACCAGAAGCAGTACCCTGGCCTATGGGCTCTTAGGACCCCTGGGTGCATCCAGATCAGGGTTTCCATTCAGGGTGAACTTGTGGTCATTCATTCTACTTCCTGGTCTGTAGTGTCACTGTGGACCTCAGGGAGAGATCTGGAGACTTCAGTTAGTTTTTAGCCAACTGCCGCCCACAGTGCCATCAATGGGGCAGTTCTCCATGTCCCTTTTTCCTTCACTGCCTTTGAAGGTGCCTAGGTGCATCTTCTCATAATGTTCAGTTACTTAGAAGTGAACAGTGCACTGACCATTGTGCCACATGACTTTAATCCCAGCACTGCAGAGGCAGAGGCAGGCAGATCTCTGAGTTCCAGGCTTGCTAGGGCTACATGAGACCTACTCTTAAAAAACAAACAGAAACAAGCAATGCAACAAAAAACACTTTATCTGAATCTAGAAAGCTAATGACCCTAAATAGCTTACGTAAAAAACTTACGAAGGTTGTTTTTTTGTTTTGTTTTTTTGTTTGGTTTTGAGACAGGGTTTCTCTGTAGCTTTGGAGCCTGTCCTGGAACTAGCTCTTGTAGACTAGGCTGGCCTCGAACTCACAAAGATCCACCTGCCTCTGCCTCCTGAGTGCTGGGATTAAGACGGGCACCAACACTGCCCAGCTACTTATGAAGGTTTTGCAGAGTTTGAAATACATGCAATGGGATCCAATATTCCCTTTAAGAAAAGAACTTTCTTTGCCTTAGATTGAGTTTCACAAGGGGCTCTCAAGTGATTCTAAGTCTGAGCCACCAGGCCCTGGATAATACTGTGACTGTGGGCTGCCTTCTCCTACTGAGGCCCCAAGCTCTGGCAACACAAGCTTCACCACCCTGAACACAAAGGCTGCCTATAACCACAGGCAGCAGGTGTAGGAAACATAGGCTGTGACCCTGCAAAGCCCTCAGGGCAGAAAGACTTAAGGAAAGTGATCTACCTGGAGCAGGTCGCTGAGGTCAAGGAGCATGTCTGCAGCCAGAGTTAAGGAGTGTTTGCATGGAAGCTACCAGGGTTATATACCCAGAGAGCTGGTCCTCATTTGTCAGATCCAAGCTCATCATCTGACAAGGGAGGAAAAGGCCCTGATGGAACTAACCAGTCCCTGAGGGAGACCGCTGGGAATCTACTTTAAGGACAGAAAGTTACAAGAGGGAGTGGGGAAAAGGGTCAGGGAAACCAGAAACAGGAGCTTCAGATGTCTACTGTACAATATCTTCTGTTCAGACAGCATAGAAATGGACGACCACACCTCAGCTCTATTCCTTAGGCACAGACTGGGGACTTCCAATCACCATTCTGAGTCAGGAGGGCAACTCCTAAAGGACAGATACAGATGTTACAGAAAGGCAGTGAGTACCTACACCAAGCATTGCCAGTGGGACTCTGATGTGAGATCTACCCCTGCGTGAGTATGAGAGTAATCAGCACTAAGAACAGATCTCAGATGAGTCCAAACTCAGATGGCACACAGACAGAATAAAAACAAGTCACTTGTCAGTGAAGTTAAGCTACTGGTTATAGGTGCAGTCCAGTAGTAAACTGTGCTTAACATGTGCAAGGCACTGCATCCATTCGCAGTGCTACACAGTAAAAAAATTATACAGGCTGCAGAGATGGCTCAGTGGCTAAAAGCACTTGCTGTTGCCAGGCGGTGGTGATTCAACACCTTTAATCTCAGCACCTGGGAGGCAGAATGCACATACAATGAAAATAAATCTCAAAACAATTTTTAATTAAATAAAAATTAATAGGCAGGCCAGGCATGGTAGCACATGCCTTTAATCCTAGCACTTGGGAGGTAGAGGCAGGTGGACCTCTGTGAGTTCAAGGCCAGCATGGTCTAGCTAGACCCAGGACAGCCAGGGCCACTAGAGACCTTATCTCAGACAAACGAAAACAAACAAAGCAAAGAAAGGTAGTTGTCACACATAGTTCCAACACCTAGGGGTCTGAAGCAAGATCACTTAAACTCTAGTTCAGGGCCAGCCTGGGAGAAACAGTTCATCTCTAGAAGATAAGGGGGAAGGAGTTTAGATGGTATAGCTAGTAAAGACATGTGCTATGCAAACCTGAAAACCTGAGTGTGACCTTAGGAACCCATGGTAAAAGAAGGAAAGTGACTTCTTAAAGTTGTCTTCTGAACTCCACAATGTCCATGTGATACACATGCCTGTATACATACACAGAGATACACAAATAATAGATTTTTAAATATACATAATTTTATAAGAATAACATAGAAACCAAAACATGGGCAAAGCTTGTGAGTAAAAACTTCAT